GCTGTTGAGTGGACACTACTGCGGGGTGTGGGGTGTCAAGGTCCATGGGCGCATGGAGAGCGTTCGGGCCATGGCCGTCATTGCTGCGGGCTTCTCCCTCAACATCCCGCCCGAGGCAGGCCCATGGGACTAACAAGCTCATCAGTTTGTTTTCAGATTGCTATGGTCTGCCCAGCAGCAGCGGAGTGGTGGGACTGGCTCGAGAAGCTGGGCTTGGTGGGCGGTGGATGGGCACCGGGGACTGCTCATGGGAGCTCAGGTCAGGGACCGACCACCGGCCACGCGCGTGGTCCAGGTAGTGGAGGAGAAAGGTGGCAGTATCAAGTGGGTTTATGGCGACGTGAGATCTCAGGTTGTGTCGCTGGCGGTGATCTCAGGTACAGGGCGAAGTACGATGATAAAGACGCTAAGACATCCCAAGCAGTGAAGAACTACATGGAGCCGATGCGCTCGGATAGGAATGCATCGGCGGTGAGTGCAGTGGCAATTGCTGGGTTGTCGAACTTGGTAGTTGCCTCAGGTGGAGTTGGCCCGTCGGAACTTGGAGACATGCAGGCCTAATTGGGCCCATATGGAAGGGGAGGAGGCAATGGTCAAGTAGACAGTGGCCAGCTGAAGACTCAAGAGACACTCCGTTGTAGATATCGAGCTGCATATGGTAGAATAAGTGCATCGTATAGGGGTGAGTACTACATTCGGGCTGAGCTGGACCATGGGCTGACTATCACTAATGGCAACGTCGTATGGTAGTGCTCTTCGTGGAGTAGAGTGGCTAGCAGTGCACTGTGGGAGCAGGTACTGTATGCAGATATGGCCGGATGCTGTGATCGATAAGCTGGGGACGAGATGGAGGCCTAGGTCTAATGCAGTGGCTCGCGGGAAAACCCATGACCATAAGACTCAAGGGGAGAAGGGAGGGGTCTATGTTGCTGACGAAGGCCACAATGCGGTGGCCTGTGGGACGGCGTATATCGTCTATGTGATGGGGTAAGGGGCTCTGGTAGGTATTGGATCACCGATGCTGTGCCGA